GCATTCTCTAGAAATGCCTTGGCTTCTCTGATACTTGAAGCAGGAACAAACATCAACTGTATTCTTCCTCACAAGTCTCTTACAACCTGTGCTGCAAAACATAACGCTTAGCTGTAGTAACAGCAGCAGACACGAGGTTTCCCTCGTGCCTCCTGAAGTGTCAGCGCCAGAAGGGCTCTTAGAGGTGGAATGGCCATGTCCCAACTGTCTCGCTTGAGCATCTCTGTTTGACTGGGGAGGTGATGGTAGGGAAGAGACACAGACATTTAGCACAGGCCACTGGGCTCATGCCCTAAAAGCCTGACCTTCCTAGTATAACTCACTGCTTCCAGGTACTTTACCTTCGTGCTGGACTGGACCTTGATGAAGCCTTATTCATATTTCTTCTTTCCACTGCTTTATTAATATCTGTAAAGAATAATCAACCCATCTGTTCAATGCTATGGAACAAAAAAAGATCATCAGCACAATTCAAATGAAAGCAACTTAAGCTCAACAACATCCAGATGGTGCAAGAAAATCCATTCAGCAGAGAGACATTGTCACTTTGACAATTTTTTATTAAGTTTAGATAGTACAATGTAATGAAATTTTCATGGATTTGTCTGACTTCAAAACAGGGTGGACAGCTTGGGTGAAGTTTGAACCCTTTACGTTCAGGCCTACATCCAGACTCTTCATTCCATAAGAGAACCTCTTTCTTCTGCAGTCTATGAGCAAGCAGAAAGCGACTCATGGACTCTAGGAGAAAAAGCAGAGTCTGAAAACCTCCAAGAAAGGAAGCTGATGGCCAGCACAGTCCTAAGTTCACAGCCAGTCCTGTTCAATGGAGCATGCCGCTACCCTTGTTGAAAATAATCCAAGGGTTCTCAAGTGGCACATGCAACTGCCTTCCAAGGGACTGCTGCAGCGTTAAGTTGTACAGCCTCCACCATGGAGGAAACAGGATCCAAGGAGCCTGAAGCACAAGCTCCTTATGAAGTCAACATGGTGCATTCAGAACACCACTATTAACATGATGCAAACTGATGCAACAGATCAGAAATTTGAAAATTGGTTGGCTTCTGAGCATCTCCATGAAAAACACCATGAAGTGAAATACAAAGAAGTAAGAGAGCTGAAGAAACAGAGTCTTGTCCTCAACCAGAAAACGTGAAGTTGCCCAGAACTGGCAGGGACCCATATCATTCTACTGTGAGGAAACAAAGCCTTCCATAACAGCTGACTGAAGATGAAATAATGTACTGGAGGGGGGCAAGAACAAACAGAAATGACTTCAGATGTTTTACTCGGAGCCTTTTAAGGAAATGAACAAAACAAACCTAGGTCCTATCTGCTACCTGAGAATCTATCAACAATTAAAATTTCTTATTAGTTATTTATATTAACTACTTTCAAAGCTCTTGCAGAAGAATAAACATGCTGCAGTGTCTTTAGGCAGACTCAGTCTTAACATCTTCTGTAACTTCCTAAACTATCCTTCATTACTTTCAAGATTAAAATTAGAATTAAGGGATTAGTTCTAATTTTTGCTCTTGTTGTCAATCAAGCAGCAGCATGTTCTCTTTTTGTGGGGGGAGAGAAGCAAGTGCAATCTGAACATGAAATACAAATGCAGCATAACAACATTCACAGGACCACAAAGCAGTCTCTCCAGGATCAAGTACAGCTGCATTGTCTACTGTCACAAACTAAATTTGATGGACATTCATTCCCTACATAGTTTTACTCATTAAAGATATGAAAACACTTCTATGCATTTGTGGAAGTATTAGTATAATGCAACACTGGAGTAAAACTCTCCCAAAGCCTTTTACCTTATTGTGTTATTAGCAATTATATTTAATACTCAGACTGCATAACTGAAGCAACTGTTCTCCTTACATTTATTTTTCAGTTGAGAATTTTCCCCCCCTTAAAGTCAAGTGTTATCTTTAAGCAAGACACTATCTGCTTTCTTTGGTTTAAGATTACTTTTATTTTCTGTTTTAAGATGCCATTGCAGAAACCTATTATGATTTTTACACTCAATACCATACATTTCTTTCAAATAAAAAAATGTATTTAAATCTGAACAAAAATATTTTACTAGAAGAAAAAACACCGCTGACATGGATCTTTCTCTTGTGCAAAACGAACAGATTTAATAACATTTTATTTAATGCCAACAGCATTTACAGGTTAAGTATTTGAACACTGACAAAACTTCCGAGAAAAAAAAAAAAAAAGTCTTCTGTCTTGTAGGATTTTGAGATGACAGGGCCACTGTAATCATACAGTGTAACCTTCTGAATAAGCACAGGTGACAAGAGTTTCTTGAATCACATTCCTATCTCAAGTGCAGCAGTGGCATTGAACTAGAGCTTAACTTTTAGCAAAACATCCAATTCCAATTTAAAAGTCTTCAGAGCACAGAAACCACCAAAGCTCCAATAAGTTATTCCAGAAGTAAATTATTTTGCTGTTAAAGAAAACTATTTATTTCCATTTAAGGACTTGCGATACCTACACCTACTAGGTTAAAACTCACCTATCCCCAGGTCTGTCTGTAACACACAGATCACACCACTCCTTTATCTTGAGGCTTTTGCTAGGGCTTGTTCTTCAACTCTTTAAGCATTCTTCAGATTTCTGAGGCTTCTCCAATTTAGCATTATCCTTTTTGAACCAAGCATACCAGAACTGAACACAGTATTCCAGCAGCAGAAACCCACAGGTACCAAAACCTCCCTACTTACAAATTTGTGTTTTGTACAGCAAAGGATGACAAACGCACTCCTGCTCGGTGCAAATTTTCCCTTTTGGCTTTACTGAAAGCTCTGTTCTGCCTGCATCCAGCTTAGGAAGAAGTCCAGGTCATTTCACCATCAGTGACTCAATCTTCATTATTTCATCCTCTCTTTTTAAAACATGAATGTGTGTTTTCTTTCCAAGTCACTTATAAAAGCACTGTATGGCCAGGAATCAATTTTTCCAGAACACCACTCAAAGCACTGAGCAATTCCATCTATGTTACACTAAGATTCATTTGAAGTCAAATTAACTCTATGTTGTTTTTAATTGTTCTAGTTTCTTAAATCAAACATCTTATAGAAGTCTTTTACATCAACACTGCTACTTTCAGCCATAAAACTTGCAGTATCATAAGAATAAGTTAATTTGACAGGAATAATTTTGATTGGCATTAACTAACTCACTTCTCACTGAGCGTCAGGTGAAAGAATCCCTTTGTTATCAGGGGCTGATGCCAGGCTCATCCCATTTACGCTGCCTATTGGCACATCCGCAGTGCTCTGCTAGGTCCCTGGAAACTCCCTAGTTTTCCAAGGCTTGTGGAAAAACATTAATAGCCTAGGCAGGTCTTCATTTCACTGAGCCTCAAAGATGTTAGTTAGATTTAAATTTTTGGAGAGGTCTAGTTTTGGTAGCTGCTGTTTTACTTTTTTTAGTTTGCTACTGAAATGGAAACGACATCAAAAACACCACCTTCTGCCTCTTCAAAAACAGACAGCAGAAACATTAACTGAAGACTAGGTGGCCCTTTCCAGCGAGAAATTTTATCATTTCCAGACAGTTACACCTCAGCTTCTAAAACAGCCGCAGTTGTTTCTATTTAAGCTTCTAGACTTTGACAATGCTGGCCATAATTTCTTCTTGTATCCTTCTACCCTCCTTGTCCATTTGCCTCCATTTCCATCTTCAGGGTCATATTTGCACTGTACACACACCTTCCCACAAGTCATTATTTACTGCTCCTTTCATTCCTTCCTAAGTCAAACTGCTGTTCTTTAAACTAGCATAGGTTTACTTCCAAAGTAAATTTTTTGCTTGCATTTAATAGATTACTCTTAGACTTCTAACCATTCATTTCTGTTTGTTTCCTCCCAGCATATTTAACAGAATTATTTTCATCTTTATGAAAATGGGCTTTTTAAAGCACCTAGTATTTATAGCACTACTTAGATTGATTTCACATGTGCAAAAAAAAATCCAAGTTAAGATTGCTTATCTAAGCAGCTGCTAAGTGCTGTGACCAATTCGTCTGAACCTGTCAAGATGAAGCCCAATATTGGTTGACAAACGTTTTTAAAACTCTCTGTACGAGGTCTCAATGACTGCCTTCCAGGGCTTACATGTTGAACAGTCTTACACAGGGTAATACACCTTTTCAAATACTAACACATAAAAATACGTTCAGAGTACGACCTAGGTAGCAAGAGAAAACACTGCAGCTGAACCACAGCACTTACAGCAAATAACTCAGAAGGCAAATACATACCTAGTAAAAGTGATTTCAGACTAGTGCCAGGCAAGTTGCATATAGTGATCTTTCCAGAGAGCTTTAAAACAAAAGCACTCTTTCTACCAGAACGCATGCTAGGGTCAGTAGGAGAGCACGGATCAGTTTTCCTTACCTAATCTATACCCTTTATAAAGGCGACCCTTCTCACCGTCCAGAGCGGCCTGGACATCTTCTAGACGGTCATACTGCACGAACCCATAGCCATGGTACATGCTGAGGGCTGGAAAAGTTAACAGCAGGGCAAGACCGGTTACAACTAAGGGACAGTACTAACCCGCACCCAGGCCATCGCGTAACCCCACCAGGTGAACAAGCAAAGGGGCTCTACCCAGAAATGACTATGCAAGTTTCCTGGGAAAACCAAATCTACCAGGATCAAAATGCAGAGCTTAGAGACTCTGAAATAAATTTCGTAGATCAACTGCCTTCTGACAAGGCAGTGACCAAAATACAGCCCATGAAGTGACCGAGATTTGATTAAGAGACTATGAAGTCACTTGAAAGAGTATTGTAACATCACACTGCAACCCCAAAAGCTAAAACATAGCTGATATATACGCATTACGTTTCAGCTGTACTGAAGGAATCACTTTTTCAGAGAAAATGCAGGCAGAGAAAATTATCATTAAGGGGTCACTTTTTAGGAACAACATTAGTCACTCCTGTCATCATCATCACATAGCATTTGACAAGCATGAAAGTTATATTTCTCACTGAATTCCCAGCCACAAAAAGGCATAAGATAATATACTAACCCCTGATTTTGCCATATTTTGAAAATATCTCTTCCATTTCTTCACGAGTCATGTGGTCTGTGGGCAAATTGCCGATAAAAAGTCTTCTCTCTAAATCCTGAGGATTGGTGCTGTTAGTGAAGTCGCTCTGTTTGATGCTATTGCTCTTGCGTCCTCGAGCCATTTTGCTTTCGTTCCAAATCCAACTCTTCGCAAAAAAGAAAAACGGCCATGCATATAATTTCAATCCATGACATTAAAATTAAACTGGAACAAGATTAAACTTAACAGCTTTGCAGACTAGAAGCCAACTGGGTCTGCTTGACGCAAACTTCACTCCAGAGAAATCTTAATACAAGGGATAGAGAAGTCTGGCAAAAACGTATACCACGGCATTTTGGTTGAGCTTTTCTGTAATACTGAAAGGTAGTAAACCTAATTATTTTGCAGATAAGTTTTAATGGTTTAACTCCAAACTAAGATACAAATAAAACTAATTTTCCACTAAAACATCTTAACTTTAAGCTTTTCAATACACCCATTGTTGTCATATCCATTTCTTCAGCCTACTGGTAAGAAGTGTTGAAATGTATGCAATATTTTAATAAGCGGAAAGGAAACACTCATCACAACATTGCATAACAGGACCCAAATATTTCAATACAGGCTTTGAACGAGACATCAGGAAGTACTGTTTAAATGCTCTTGAGTGACCACGCTTGGATCACTTTACTATATGTGAAATCTTAGCTTTCTAATACCAGAAAACACAGTTTCTCATTCATACCCCTACTAAAGAGCATATCCTTGTCCCCATAGAGACATCAGCTCCCACAGAAGGCGGGTCCACAGCTGGGAACGTAACCACCCCCACGTAAATGCTGTACCACTACCACCTCTTCTCCCCCAGTATGGCACAAGTACACTTTGTTAACCCACACTATCACAGACAAAGCTGGAGCAGTCAGCAACAGTCACTGCAAACTTACCCAAAGAATTACAGCAAAAAAAAAACCCAACAAACAAAAAACAACAAAACAAACTCTACCAAGCCAACAACCCTCCCCTCCCAAACCCCACCCAGGATTCATACTTTCTGGTTTAAAAGTCACCATTACATAAAGCTTAAAAAAAATGAAAAACACTGAAACTTTCAAGATTAACTTCAAAGCTTGAAAACCATTTATAAAGTTGTCATACTTCCTAAACATTCATCTACAGGAATGCAGGATGGGATTTTCTGTTTACAACATGCAAGAAACATGGAAAAACAAAGCTGATGAAATTGAGTACATCAACAGAAACTACTACTGTTCATCAGGAGATGCCTACAATCAACACACTCCCTAACAGTAACCTATATTCATTACAATGTAAAAGTAGCCTCTAAATAAACAAGTCAAACATCCAAAAATATAAACCAGTTTTACATAAATACTTCTACAACACTTAACTGGCATGAAAAATACATCTACTCCAGATTTGAGACATAAAATTTGTTTGTTTTTGTTTGGTTTTTTGTTTGTTTGTTTTTTTAAAGATCAATTAACTTTACATTCATATCACTTTTCTCCTTCTTTCAGGAAACCTGGCAGGGACAGGAGGCAGAGAATGCCTCCCAGCCTAATAAACTTTTTAAAATCAACTGAACTGCCAGAACAGGGAGGAGGAAAAACACCCCAACACCAAAACCAAAATCAAACAAAAGAAGTCATTTCTTCTACCATATTTGCCTCAATCCTCTAAGTTTGTCCACACACAGAGTTTTACCTTCCCTGTCAGAAGTACCAAATCTTGTCCCATTTTTTCTGTATGGAAACACTAGGCCTCCCTTCCATTCCACTACTGCAGCTCCAGTTCTCATCAGCTGAGGGGAAAGAAGTTTTCAAAATTCTCTCAAAATGATTAAGTAGCTATAAAACATGGAAAGACCCATCTAGCCCAAGTTCCCATTTGGAGCAGGGTGACATCCAAGTTGGATCCAGTTGTCATGGCCTTCTCCATCCGGGCTCCGAGCACTACCAGGGACAGGGACCCCCTGCGAGCACCCGCTCAGATAGCATGGCCTGTACGTACGGTCTCGGGACATCACGTATACGCACAGCAAAGAGGCATCAACAAGGCCTGTAACTGCTGCTGGCGGGATATTTCACTTCCAGTATAAAAAGCAGAAGAAATTCCCTTTTCTTTTCTTAAGGGTGAGGACAGTAGGGGGTGGCTGGGGAAGAGGGTGCAAGAGCTTTCCGTATGAAGAAAAACAGGGAGCTATTTTTCCACTTGCAGGTCGCTTTCAAAACAAAGGAATAAATCCCAAACACTCAGACAGGTTGGATTACTAGAGAATTTTCATATAGGAGCATTTACTGCCTCTTACCATTTTCCACTTGATAGATTACATAGTTAAGGGCCATTTAGCAATCATAAGACCAGAGTAAGTGAATGTTGTCCCAACTTCAGGCACACTACACCAGGTGAAGGACTAATTTTCACATTAAGTCTTTTTTGACAAATGCAGCCACAGAGGCCAACTACGCACCTGGGCAGCTTAAAGGTCCCAATCCCCCCGCCCAGAAAGCGAGCGCCAGGCCAAGCAGGTTCCTACAAAAGGACAGCCTGCATCTGCTCATGCACCAATAAATCCTCTGGAAGTTAATTAAAGCCACGTTTCCCTAAAAATCTTACATATAAAGCCAAAGTTATTTATTAATACTGCTACAGCTTCAGAAAGCAAGACAGCTGAAGTGGGATGTTTGAACTAATTTGATACAAGTGAAACGTTACTCAGGAGTCTGCAAGAAGTTCCTAAGCAAGGCAGGAAAAACAAAAAAAAAAAGCTAGCGACCACAGAAAGGAAGGGTTCTGAGGAGCAGTGAGCTTCCCACCCAGCACAGGCTAGCGGCTCTCAGCACCTCGGAGCCAAGCCCCGCCAGGCAGCCCCCCCACCGCACCCCCAAAGGTCAGGCCTGGGGCCAGCAGGGCCGTCCTCGGGCAGCACCGGCACCCACCTGCCCTGGCCCTCCGCGCCCAGGCCAGCGGGCAGACGCAGAACTGCCCGCAAGGAAAAGGCGGCCCTCCTTCCCGGGGCGCCGCTCGCCGGCTCCGCTGCCCGGGGCCCCGCTCACCAGCTCCGGCAGCGCCCTCACCCTGGGCGCTACCCGCAGCGCTCACCGGCGGCGGGGGGGACACCCCCCCCGCCCA